CCACCTCCCCAACGTTTGCCTGCAACTCCCAGTGCTCTTCCTGCAAATGCTGAGCTTGGCCACCAGCTTGGCCTCCAGCTCGGCGGGCTGCGTCATGATCCAATGTTTATCCATATGATTCTTCCATCGGTGTCCACCCCTGCCCTTGGCTGTGAGCTCCTGATGTCCAGCCCCGACCTTGTATTCTTTGCTCAGCACTGTATCCTAACAACTCTCAGTAATTGTGGTCAATTATTTTTTTAAAGTACTTATGGGCTGACCAATTTTTATAATATTGGTAGACCAAATAGATCTTCTCAAAAACAATTTTTACCAAATAAAAATAGCACATATCTACGTACAGTAAGGCCAAATTTAGAATCTATCTGTATTAATTATCTGAACATTAAAAGTAATATTATGAGACTATTCTTACTACACAGTCACATAATTCAATCACATGACTGGCCACATCTATTTCTGATACCATATCACAGGCATTGTTCTAAAACTGTGTTTATCTTCAATCTTACTCATTTTTAATTACCCAGTCGTCTTTATAGCTGCATTTCAAGGTTAATCACCTTGAAATCATTGCCCTCTCCAATCAATCATTGACCACAGATATCAACTTTTTTTGTTGTTTTTTGTTTTTTTGTTTTTCAAGATTTTATTGGGAAATTGGGGGAGGGGAACAGCGTTGGGGAATTGGGGAAGGGGAACAGACAGGTAGACAAATTGCTGTTTTGTTCTTCAGTCTAGTTGTGGAGGACGTCGCTTCACTGGCCCATGTTGGTATGATCATTGCGCTCTTCCTGGGTGAAGCAATCGGTCACCAGTCATTCGTTGGTCGCTCGCGGCAGCTCTTGCCCAGTGCCAGACGCTCACGCTGGCTGCCAGCCACTTACGTAGCTCACGGCAGCCCACTGCAGCCCCACTGCAGCCTACGCTATTGCCGGCGACTCACGGCAGCCCAGCTCCAGGTTGAGCTGTTGTTCATCATCTTAGCTGTAGAGGGCAGTGTCACTGGCCCTCATGTGGGATCCGAACCGCGGCCCTGCTGCTCAGAGCTGGCGTCCCAAGCGAGCTCTTAACCAGCTGAGCCACTCGGCCAGCCCACAGACATCAACTTTTGCTTAAGTCATCTCTGAGCCTCTTGGGGGCAGGGCAGGGGGGAGGTCTTCCTTTATCTGTGTCCCCTCCCTTCTTTCCAGTTGTATCTTTCAAAAATGCCTCTTGGAGTTTTAAGCAAAATGTGACTCTCTATTGGTACAATAAACATATATTTGAAAACTCAAAAAAACCACTTTTTATGGAAAATTCCAAACACACACAAAGGAGACAGCAGCGTGATGAGGGCCATGTGCACATGGCACCAGCCTCAACCGTGGCCAGCTCACAGCCAGCCCTCTCCAGAGCGCTCGGAGCCAAGCTGAGCTGATGCCCAGCTCACTGAGGGCGGCACAGCACAGGCCCCGTGAGAAGCCCCACTACCGACATGCACCCACACACTGAACGCCAGGTTCCTGAGAGCTTTGGGACCCCGGTTCCGTAGAGAGGTAGAGAGCGTTCCTGGCCTGCGACCCATCATGAAGACGGAGAAGTCTGGGCGGCGGGGCAGGGGAGGGGGACAAGGTGGGCTCGTTTGTAAACCAAGAGACAAGCCAAAGGCTCAAAAAATTCTATGAAGGGCCGGTTGAGTGGCGCATTGGTTAAGAGTTGGCTTGGGATGCCAGCTCTGAGCAGCAGGACCCTGGTTTGGATCCCACATGAGGGTCAGTGACATTGCCCTCTACAGCTAAGATGGTGAACAACAGCTCGACCCGGAGCTGGGCTGCCGTGAGTCGCCAGCAATAGCGTAGGCTGCAGTGGGGCTGCAGTGGGTTGCCATAAGCTACCGTGAGCGGCCAACCAGAGGCCGGCGGACCAATCTGCCTCACCTGGGAAGAGCGCAATGATAATACCAACATGGGCCAGTGAAGCAACGTCCTCCACAACTAGACTGAAGAACAAAAAGACAGCAACTTCTCTGTTCCCCTTCCCCGATTCTCCAATGCTGTTCCCATCCCCCAATTCCCCAATAAAAATCTTAAAAAAAAAAAATTCTATGAAGTCTTTTGTGGATTAAGTTAGGCTTTAGCTATTTGATACATGGAAAAGTATAGGAAATTGGCTTCAAATAGTATTTCATTGCTACAAAACATATAGGTTATGTTTCTTCTCCACAGCTATTAAGATCATGATTATTAGTGGCAATGATAATCATTTACAAAAAGGAGCATTATTCTAAACATGACCATTGAAACCACAACAATTTCCTTATTAATTCCTGCCTGTATATGAAGAAATAAAAACTTAGCCATTCAGAAATTCTGATCTCTACTAGTAGGCACTTTTTCAACTAAAGTAAGTGAATTTATTTAATTGGGCCGTTTTTCCTCTTTTTAAAAATAATACATGTTTGTTTAAAAAAATATTCACAGAAAGAAAAAAACCTTCCCAGCTCTGAAAGAAAGTCCCTTTGAATGTTTCGGGCTGCGCTTCCAGTTAAACTAATACAGCAGCGGGCCAGCGGCCTGCTCTTCCCGTTCAGCACAGCGTCCCACACCATTAAGCGTTATCCTAGACCACTGAAAACAGCTACGTGGTTTTCTAACATATGGACTAGTACAGTTTAACCAATTCTCTAGGGTTAAAACCTAGGCTGCTTTCCGTTTTTTTTTCCACCGTGACGAAGACCAGCGTAGCCCACGCAGGCTTCCTTCTCACAACCCACCACCAGGAGGACCACCTGTTCAAACGGCATCTACTTTCAGGTCCACATTTTCTTTTATCTACATTAAACTGTCCTTCAAAACTAAAATCACGATGTCCATAGCACCATGATTAACTTGCTGAAGTTCAAAACAAAACAAAAAACACTTTTACTGGCCTATGTCGCCCACTGGAACTAGCTCCCATGGGGACATACAATTTCCAGGCCCCTCCAGGAACCACCGATGACTTCCAAAAGCACTTACTGTTAGGATGAAACATCTCACAGGTAAATCTCATCTTTGGGGGACTTAGCGGGTAATCAAGTGGGAAACTCAGGATGGCAGGGAAAACACCAAACTCAAAGCAGGTGTCTTCTGGGCCCCTAGAAGACATAAAACACACAGACAGAGCTTCAAGGGAGATTTTTCAATGTCCACCACACTTTAGAAATGAATTAAGGAAATCTTACTGCATTACAAATGCACATGAAAAGATTATCCAAATCCTAACGACGAGTCAGTCCTTTTTTTGGTCCTTGTCCCATTCAGCCCGGTTTCATCTTAGGTACAAGCACAGTGACAGAACTGCACTAAGAGAAGAGTGGGGCAGCAAAGCCTCCCTATCACCAGGAATCAGGGGAGAAAAGTGAGGCAGGCACCGCAAGGCCCTCTCTGTGTACCTGGTAAATTACTTAGGACAGAGTGTTATAGCACAAGTTACAGTGAGATTCTATTGCAGCAAACACATGAGGGGTTGAAAGTTGTTCCAAAGGCTATTAATTTTTAAATGTGCCTCAGAAGTGATTTTTGTAACCTTCCAGAAAAGGTAAGCAGCACACGTGCAATGCCCACCAGGCTCCCTGCAGGTCAGGTGTGTGCCCGTGACCAGTGCTGCGAGCCCTGACCTCCAGGCCTGAGCTCGGTGCCACACCCTGGCTGACACTGTCAGCTTAGCACTCACCGTTGCTGGCACGTGCACACCTGTCTGCCTGGGTTTACCAACTCCTCACGTGGAACGTGGCAGAAAGAAACGAAACCACTTCGAAGGTCTGGCCACACTTTAAAACTCTATGTGCGTAAGTTAACACTATCCTGACCGACGTGCGACATCAAACCAGCAGGAGAGAACAGCAAGTGCCACCAGCGCGTATCCTAACAGAGACGACTTGCTCTGCCCCTTCCACCTGTCACATGTCACATGAACTCGAGCAGTTTTCACAGATGTCAGACCACTTTTCCGATGTAAATTTTTATAAGAAAACAACTGCTGAATGACAGCTGCAGATACCGGAACAGCAGCAACTACTTTGGGGTGAGCCATCAAGTCAATACACAAGAAAGGAGCCCCACTCCACCCGTGAGTGGGGAGCCCCTTTCCGTTCATGCCCACATCTCCAAGAACGGCCCTAGCCCAGTAGCCCTACAGCACAGTGAGCACCATCGCAGGACCACGGCCTGCCCGCCAGAGGCGGCTCAACACAGACTTGCCGCTCTGAACGAATTACAAGATAAGACACGGGAAAAAATGTAAATATATTTATTCCAAACAATCTATGTACATTTTTGTTTTTTAAAAGTACAAATTTGAAATCTTGATAAAATTATTTTGATTCAGTGAAATTTAAAAAAATATAGAGATTTGCAAGTATTAGAAACAATATTTGCCTCCACAATTCAAGGAAAAAGACAAAAAAATTTAAAAAAACTGAACAAAGAGCTTTACTTGGTGCTGACACTCAAGGCTTTCGATGGCACCACTGCAGTGGATGCCAGGATGTGGCACGAGCCTGGGGCCCGGGGCCCGGGGCCCGGGCGGTGGTAAAATGGTCAAACCAGGAACAAGGTGAGAAGTGTTCCGTGGAGCCAGACTTTTTCCATTTAAGAGACAAATCTGATTCTGAAAACTGTCCTAGTTACCACCTCTGGGGAAGCTGCAGTGAACAGGCACTTTGTTTTGGAGGGGGTGTCACTACGCGCCAGCCCAGGCCTGGGCCTGAGACCAGGACAGCAAAGCCACAAGAAGAGGGGCGTGGGCAGGCTCCTGACAGAAGGGGAGGGAGCGCGGCTGCACTGCAGGGCAGGGCATCCAGTGGATGGACATGGGCCTGCAGGCGGCACAGGGACAGAGCCGGCCCGGGTCAGCAGGACCACACACGGGGCTGCCATCAGGCCACACCTCTTCTCCAGCTCCAGAGCTCAAAGCCCGTGGGGAGTGCACGCCGAAGGTACTCCTGCCACAGGCCCTTCTGATGCAAGGTGTCAGGATGAAATGGTCTGGTCAAGGTCCTCAATCAGTTCAGCCCCCAGCTAAGAGCAGAACACTGTTCAAAGTGCTTACTCGGAAGGCTGGGCAAACAGATACTATCTTGAAACTCATCACTGCTACTATGTCAGGAATGTGTTCCAGTGTCTCAATATTTCCGGCACCTCTGAGTTAGGCGAGAAAAAAATGCCCGGGTAATGTTTCTGGAATGAGCCAAATGGTATTTGCTCAACATGCTGATAACAGTTCTTTGTTTCTTATAATAGAGCTTTCTTTAAAATTGAAAAAAAAAAAAGTCCACTGGGTCATTTGTAGCCTCAGAAACATGACCAAACGTTTCCTAAAGTGCTCCCACATCTTAGATATCAAAGCTACCCTCAAACACTCTGTTTCGCTACCGTGTGAAACCAGGGTTTGTCCCCCCGAGGCCCTGAGCCAGGACAAGCCTGCAGGGCCCACGCAGGCGGCAGAGAGCCAGCTGACCTGATGGAAAACGCTATCAAGTGAATTCCTGAACCAAGACAAAGAGGCGTAATGAGTGTTGTTTTTGGACAAGTATCCGTGCCAGGCTCCAGGCAGTGAAGAGGTGACAGCCCCACGTCTCCTTCACTAAAGGAGGCCGAGTCTCAAAATCGTCAGGAGAAAAGCACAGAAGAAAGGAAACAAAAACACAGTTGTCTGAGCAAATAGCAATTCCTCAAAGCCTGAGAATTCCTTTCCATCTTACTGGTTAACATATGGCCTGCATCACTTCAGAGCTCTGAGAAAGTATTTATTTACTTGCTGAGACGGGTATTAAAGCACAGTAACCACACTGCACTCTAGATGGAGGGCATGCTTCAAGTCAGACGCAGAGGCGCGGGTGCTGGAGAGCAGCAGCGAGGTCTAACCCTGACGTGGTGCCCAGCCCCCAACAGCTCCCGCCCACAGCCACAGGGGTCTGCATCGTCTGTGACAGCCGGTCCCTTGAGAGCCAGTTGGGGTCGCAGAAATGCAAGTGAAAAACCGTTCCTCGTTGCTGTACGTTCTGACAGGCGTCTAGGTAGCAAACAAAGCCCACGGGCCTGCACAAAGAAGGGGACACGGTGGCAGAGCACCCTGAGGAACCCATGTGTGAGCTGGGAGCAAGCTGCCGCCCACCTGCACAGTCCAGCTGTGAAAGGCAGGCAGGTGTTGAAGAAACGGTTTCTGTTCTCTTTTTCAAATCTGTCACAGCACATGGACGAAATGCCTCAGACACGCCTCTGACAGGGTTTAAATAACGGGAGACTGTAAACCCATCCATCAGCACTTGAACTGGGTTAATAACAGACGGTTATTCTCTGAAGATATAACCACGTGAAGCATGAGACAGAAAGGCACACCACCTCATGCATGCAGGCGGGCACTCGAGGAGACCAGGACAGCAGCTATGCCACGCCGTGGTCCCTGGATTTTTGATGCCAAGACAATTCAACGCAGAAAAGTCTATTTTCAATCCACAGTGCCAGGACAATTGGACATCCACATGCACGTCCTACCTGATGCCACACCCCAAATTAACTCAAAATGGATCGGAAACCTAAATGTAAGAGCTACAGATATAAGACTTCTAAGAGAAAACTTTTGTAACCCTGGGTTATAGCACACCAAAAGCGTGATCCATAGAAGAAAAAACCTGCTACACTGCACGTCATCAAACTTCTGCGCTTCAAAAGACTCCATTAAGAAAATGAAAGAAAAGCTGCAGACTGGAAGAAAATACTTGAAAATCATATATCTGATAAAGGACTCATATGCAAGATATATAAAGAATGTTTACGACTCAATAATAAGAGGACAGCCTAATTAAAAAATAGGCAAAAGTTCTGAAGTTCACCAAAGACAACGTGCGAATGGCCAACAAGCCCAGGAAGACCCTCCGCAGCATTTAGTCCTCAGGGGACTGCGGACCAAACCCAGAACGAGGCCCACTTCACTCACACCCACGAGGACACCAGCAGTGGGAGAGGAGGGACACACACCGCCTCATGCTGTTGGTGAGGAGGCAGAATGGGGAGCAAGCTACTCTGGACAAGGGTTTGGCAGATTCTTAAAGCATTAGACACACTTCACGCTCCAGCAGCTCCACTCCAGCCAAGGGAAACGGAGCTGTGCTTCCACAGTGTCCGTGAGCTGGCCGGTGCACACCCAATGGGGCACGCGCAGCACTGAAAGGAGGGAGCCAACTCCAGCGCTGAGGGCCAGGCCAGACACGAGGGTCGGGGAGGTGAGGAGTCCAGCTGCAGGGCAAGGCCAGGAAAGGCGCGTCTGTGAGTTACAAAGGGGAGCCGAGCTGCCCACAGCTGAGGGCGGGAATGGGGGCTGGCCGCAAGTGGGCCCCAGGGCCTTCTGGGAAACGTTCTGACCTGCACTGTGGTGATGGCTGCCAAGCCTCTGCATTTACTGAGATCACTGGTGGGCATACTACCACAGGAAAACCGATGGCACGTAAATTCCATATCAACAAAGCCACAAAACCACCACAGTGGGGGACGGCATCTCAGGCCATTCCAGGGGTTCCCGACCCCAGCACTAGCTGCCTCTCGGGCACAGCCCTGTGCCGTCTGTGGGGTGTTCAGCAGTGTCCCACCAGATGCCAGCACCGGGGCTCCCCGACTCCCCGGTTGTGACAGAAATGTCTCCTCCAGACACTGCCAAATATCCCGTGGGGGCAAAATCGCCCCCAGCTGACAGCTGGCCTAGACCTATTGCTCCATAACCTGTGGCGTCCACTCCGTAAGGGCTGGCATGCCTCTCTGCCAGCATGCAGACTCTGCCTGAGCTTCCTTAGCGCTCCACGGCACTCCATGGTAATGACGGACCACAGTGACGTGGACAAGGAGGTGCCCACCTTGACTACTGCAATGATGCTGCAGTGCGCGTCCTCGTGCCGAGGCCGAGAGCACTTCTGCTGGACACCTTCCTGGGCTTGGGGTTGCTGGGCCAGAGAACATACGATACAAACTACAAACATCGATTTTAATAGCTCAGGTTTATTTTCGTAGGCACGACGCTGACGAGACGCTCTGTGCGTCTTCCGTAACCCAGGAAACCTGACACAAGTAAGGGTGGCTGCTGTGACCGTGGCGCCCATACCTAGTGTAAGCTGAGCACAGTCCTAGGAGAAGCCACAGCCTGGGAACCCCCATGTCCACGGTCGTAACCCATCTGGGACCCAAACATGGCACAGTAACATGCGTGCAGTCAGCCGAGGGTCCTCAACATTCGGGATGGGGACTTCCTTCTCACTTTACCAGAGCCGACAGACCCTTCTGGTCTGCACAGGGAACAGCAGCTGGACCAAGGACCAGGCAGGGAGGTCACCACTGCCAGCTGCTCTGAGAACGCTGGGGCAGTCCAGAAACGGGCAGCAAAACTCCACGGGCCTTCACGCCTTTCCTGACCACTGCGGATGAACGGCCGCCCTGCAGCGCAGGACCCCCTGGGACCTAGCGGCGGCTCCAGGGGAAGAACGTGCCCGCCCTCTGCAGCAAAGCACCAGGACAGCTCCCCACGCCACAGCCAGGGTGAGTGAGGCCACACAGGCCAGAGACCTGGATGTGAAGCCACAGCTGAAAGGATGCTGAATCTCTCTGTATCGATTCGAGTACGTGAAGCTCACAGAGGCAGCATGGCTGGCCCAAGACCACACAGCCCAGTGGCCCTCGCGCAGTCAGATGGAAGCCCCAAGCCCTTTCCTACTGGGTCACAAGCTCCAGCTCCTAAGCTCAGCCCGAAGTCATTAAAGTTCTTCGTCACTTTTAATCAGAGAGCAGGATGTGGCCATCCCTTGTTTGGCTCTCCCTTGCTCATTAATCTATTGAGCTCCGACCCCAGTCCCCAAATCTCGACTTTCAGGGTGGAGGTTGGGGGTCATCTGACATGCCGGTGCCCACGTGCGGACAAGGGCCCTAATAGAACAGGCACTCGGTAGTTCTTGTTCAAACAGGAGAAAAGGTGTTTTCTTCCCAGGCCAGCTGAAAAGAGATGGGGGCCCCATAGGTAAGCAGGGCTGCAAACCCTGGAAATAGGGCTTTTATAAACACTGGGGCACAGAAGAAACTCAGACACAGTCAAGGAATAAGAAGAAAGAAAAGAAAACCTATCTCTAGGAGGGGGACCCTGCCAGCTGCCTGCCAGAACGGCAGGGAGAGCCGAGCCAACGGGAGGACCTAATTCCTTAATCGACGTTTGCAGCGCGCTGGTGAGTGGCCTCTTTTTTGTGAAAGGGTCTGGAACAGGACCAAATCCCACAGGCTCACCAGGTCCTGAAGCAGGGGAATTCCACACTAAAGCAAAGCCTATTCACACACAGAAGTGCTCTACTAAAAAAGAGCTCTAATGACTTTTTAAGACACGTTTTCAAAATACTGGTTTAATTTTATACTGTTTATCTAAAATTAGTAATAGTTCCCCTAACAGGTTATTAATAATGCACACTTTAAAAGCCACAGTGGAAGGCTCATACGCCCCTTAAAGGCCTTCTACTTAAGTCTGCCGTGATTGCCCGCGAACCACCATCTCCCAGGGAGATGGCCTGTCAGGTGCCCCCCGGCCTCTGCACTCAGAAAAACCATCCGATAACCCACCTACGACCAGGCCTGCTGTGTACCTGTCCGTGTCAGCAACAAGGAGCGTGCGTGACTTAGGAAACGGAAAAAGGTAGGTTACAAGTCAAGTTCACGTGCTGTGGTCTCCTGTTTCTTTCAAAACAAAAAAGAGCTCCAGCTAACACGAGTGCACAGAGCCATGTTCCTTCAGAGCAGGACACCGCGGGCCAGCTCACCGTCCAGAGAACTGCGTCAGGAGTGACAGACACAAGAAAGACCATATTTGACACAAGTTCAGGCTGCAAAGGCATCCCCATGCCAGGGACCCTGGGACACAAAGTGCAGCGAGCACACAGGCCCGGCAGGGAGGTGCTGTGCTCCCTCTGGGCAGTGTGTGCTGGGGACTGTTAAAATACTCTGCTTATCAAAGAAACTCATCTTTTTCACATCAGTTTTGATGTACTAATCTAATCTCCACAGACAACACTGGGCAGCAATCTGTTTCTCAGACTAAGGTGAATGTTAGGACCGTGGGATGTGAGCACTGGGCAAATTCAGAAAGTCTGGTGCTGTTTAAAATTACCCCCTCAAACCAGAATCCACACTTGCTGCAGTGAACTCCCCGCTTCTTCCAGTCCCTCCCCACTAGAGCACCTCACCCAACATGAAAACTTTCTAGCTAATTACAGATCTCATTTCACTAAGGAGAAAACCGACAGACTGATGATAACTTCGACTCCTTTAACGTCACCTAACCACACTTGACTGAAATGCACTACCAAGTCTACGAACAGCCGAAAAGAAGACAGACGAGGATCCTGGGTCCCAGGGCCTTAGAATGCTCTAGAATCAGAGGTCCATTTGCTTCTTTCCAAGCAACATCACCGCAAGTGAAACGTCATGAAATCCAGTCTCCATCTTTCCAGAATGGGGCCAGGAACCACACTGCTCATCTTAGAGGAACTGAGCATGTCTCGGGGTCAGGGACCACGGAGGGCCAGATGAGGCACACAGCAAACCAAGGAGCAGAGGGAAGGAGAAGACAGGTCCTGGTGCACAGGTGGGGCGGGGCCCAAGCTGCGCCCACGGGCCAGGGCGCCGCCACCCTCCCCCCCCAAGCCAAAGCCACCCATACTGTTTGAGGCTAATCCAGCACAGCCACATGACATTCAAAATTTGCTCTTTTAAAACTCTACAAATATATAATACTCACTAAACCTTTTACTGATGCTAAGGAAACATTTTCATTTCTTTTGGATAAATGTCCGTGTTGTCTTCTGCTTTCAGATGAAAAGACTAGAGAACTAAATTAAACTGATGCACTAAGCTTTTATTTTCCAATCGACACTTCAAGCACTGGCTGCTGAATATGATGCATATGTCTAATTTCCAGTAAATTCTGAAAACTAATAACACGTATGATTAACTTACATGATCAATGCCTCCCATTCAAAAAAATTCTCTTCATTCATGGGGCCTGCAGGAAAAGAAAAATGTCCACATTGTAACTCTGAAGGCAACTTTGGCAATTAGAAGTAAATTATTAAAAGGTTAACTTTAGTACCTCACCTGCCACAATTCCTTCTGGGGGGTTCAGTGTTAATTCTACAAAATTAAAAAGTAAAACCATTATGAAACAGAATGAATGCAATATTGGCATTTTAACAAAATAACTGTAGAGTGTACAAGACTATAAATTACATGGTATACATACTAACAGATTAAAATTCTTTGTCCAAAGTGAATGCCTGCTCCAGTTACATTTTTATTAGTTTCAGGTGTACAAAGCAACATACTAGTTAAGACATTTACACCCCTCACAAAGTGATAACCCCCCTCCCCCAAGCTACTACACCTCTGACATCGTATATAACTGTTACAATACCATTGACTATCTTCCTTTCGCTATACTCCACCTCCCGTGAATGAATATATATATTTTTTTTCTTATAGTTGACATGCAATATTATTCAGCGTCAGCTTCAGGAGTACAGCACAGTGGTCAGGCATCTAACACAGTCTATGAAGTGACCCCCGCCCCCCCACCCCGATAAGTCCAGTGCCCATCTGGCTCCTTGCATAATCTTTACAACATTGTTGATTATATTCCACATTCTGTGTTTCATATCTCTGTGACTATATCATGTCTACTAATTTGCTCTAATCCCTACACCTTCTCCCCTAGCCCCTCCTGTCCAGTTACATTTCTGAGAAAAACTACGTGATCAGTTCTTTAGACCAGCAAAAAAAAGTAGAAACCCTTCCCATTTACAAATGAAAAGACAATCAAAAGGGGTTAACTGTCTTTCCAAAATACTCCTGCTGGTTATTTTGACTAAAGCTCATAAATCAAACACAGTACATTTTTTTCCAACTGAAAGGTGTCTCCTGTCACTTTGAGGCAAACTAGGGATGCGGGCCAGCGAGTGCTGAGGCTCCTAACACCAGACACTGCACCAAGCACCCGAAGCTCCCACCTCCAACACCCTCCAGACTATCAGACTCCAGCACTGAAAGTAAAAGGAGGAAGACTTGGTCAGCAGCGGCATTTCTCAGCAATTTAAGATGAGTAGCTGTCGAAAGCCTAGAGGCCCAACTCTGCCACTTAGAAGCTGCCACCAGGAAATGTCGACTAGCCTCCTCATTTTTATGTAGCAGGCTCCACAATGAAGCCCACCCTGTGAGCCAGTCTGCAGAGGCGAAGGGAAGGTGCAAGTCCTGGGCCAGAGGGGACAGCACAAGGGGAGGAGCAGGACGCAGCCGCACGGCCTGCGTGGCTTGTGCAGGGAGTCGCTGAGATAAGAAACAGACACAGATGACCAAGGCCATAAGCTGGTTCTCGGAAGAGACAAAGTTACCAAATCCCCGCCACAGAAACATAAGGCACAGGACTGGAAGAGAGGAAACAATTGTCATTGAGCACAGATGCTGAGCCAATGTACACAGAAAGTCAAAAGAGCCTAAAGGTAAATGATTAGGAAAAGTCAGTTTGCCAACGCTGCTGAATAGGTCGATGCATATACAAGTATAACTGAGTTGTGTTTCTATGTATCAGCAAGTTAGAAAAGGAAAATCTACAGAAGGTACCAATTATAATAGGAAATATGTAGAAATAAGTATTTTAGAATTTGTACAAGATCTGTAACTGCTGTGAGAGACCTCATTAAACAGAATGGACCACGTTCAAGGGTAAAAATTCAGCATTATGGTTATCAATCCTCCGCAAACCCAATCTGTAGATTCAATGCAACCTCAGCCAAGATCCTAACAGGTTTTCTTGGCTGAATTTGACACATTTCAAAAGATAAATGGAAATGCAAACGACACTAATCTTTGCAGAGTTAGGTGAGAACTCTAAGGGCCAGGGAGGCTCCCTCTGAAGCCACAGTGCACTGTGTGTGACCTGGCGACTGTCACCTGGGGCAGCTGAACAGAACGGAGTGCCCAGAAAAGACCTATAAATGCAGGGCCACCTGGAAAGCACTGCTGCAGACACAGGCCACAGGACTGCCTTTCCCACAAGTGGCGCTCATCTTTAGACCAGAAAAAGGAGACTTTTGCCTTATTTCACACTACATACAAAAATCAAAATTTGTAAGAAAAAGGAAAGAAGGGACACGTGACATAATAGAAAAAAATAGAGGGTGCCAAAAAAATGTATACACATTTTCAGAAAGGAAAAAACT